GGGGCAATGCGCAAGCAACTTAATTAAATTCTACAAATATAGTGAGTTTACATACTGAAAAAAGCTCTAGAGCTTAGAAACTCCAGATCTTATAAGACATATGCCAGGAAATCTGCCCAACAATTGCAGTGGAAGAAGATATTATCAATACTCTCTTGATGGAAAAAAAAAATCTGCCCTCTGCCCCAGTCTATATTACTTCTGTCTTCCAAGGCTATTAGCTATGGGGAAGGGATGTGGCTCAGTGATAGAGTGCTTGCCTGGTATGTGGGAGGCCCTGAGTTCAATCCCCAGTACCACAAAAAGAAAAAGAAAATGTTTAAGCCAAGGGTTATACTATACAAATACCCTTAAAAAATAAAATATTGAACAAAAGCATATGTAAGTTGTGAAGAAATGCCTCTATCTAAAATAGTGTAGACCTTAGAAAAATTGTGGACAAAGTCTTACAAATTAAAAAGGGAAAGACACATTTATGTGTGTGTGTTTGTGTGTGTGCATGTGTGTTTCATTACTTCTGTTATTATGTTAACAAGAAATGGCTGTTTTTGCTAATGATATTGATACATATTAATAATAGATCAGTTTCTGAAGCAGTAATATAAAAAAATAAAATTCTCTCAGGAGGTTACCTCTAGTAGTTTTTAAGCAATTATACATAGCCTATTATTTAAAGAGAAAATTAAATTTTAGGCACTATTTTTGACAATTTTCACCTTTTTAAATCAAATATAATTATGAAATTAATGATGCATGTATGTTTGAAATGATGTTTAAAACATGTTTGAAAACTCTGCATTTTTCCATTTAGTTTTTAATGGTCTAAATATTACCTCAAAAACATTTTGAACTCTAAGTAGATTAAAATTATATAAAATTGATTATTTTAAGAAAAATTTTTCTAATACCATTTGTCTTAGGTAGTTTGTCTCTACTTGAAGTCATGCTATTCTTTAATGTAGATGTAATTATTCAAAAGTAACTATAATTTCACTCTTGCATATGGATATCCTTGATCATTCCTTAAAACTTTCTTGGGATATTTGATAAAACGGTATTTGATAAAATGGGAGGGTCAAGCTTTATAGTTGGTGAGATTGTTACCAGAACATTTCCATTTGGATTTTGCAATCCTAACACAATGAAACAACAATTTTCCCTTAGTATTTCCTTGAAATAAAACTATAGGCTATAGAAAATATTTTTTCATATTTTTATTGGTGCAGTACAGTTGTACATAATGTTGGAATTTGTCATTTCATATTTGTACATGTACACAATATAGCAAGATAATTTGATCAACATCATTCCTCACTATCTCTCCTTTTGAGACTGTAGAAAATACGAAAGCTGAATGTAGGTGGGATTAAAGTGGATAACATCTGAAATTAGATTTCTTCTGTAACTAGAAATTTTTTAATTGAAATACTATTCACTATTAAGATATTCATTTACCTTTAAATGCTATAATTTTATTCTCTTTTAATGCTGAGTAATATTCCATTGTGTATATATACTGCAGTTTATTTATGCTTTCATCTATTGAAGAGCATCTAGGTTGCTTCCACAGTTTATCTATTGTTAACTGAGCTGCTATAAACATTGATGTGGCTACATTATTATTGCATGCTGATTTTAAGTCCTTCCGGTGTACACTAAGAAGTGGGATAGCTGGGTCAAATGGTGGTTTCATTCCAAGTTTTCTAAGGAATTTCCATACTTATTTTGAAATTGGTTGCACAAATCTGCAATCCTACCAGCAATGTATGAGTGTGCCTTGGGAAGAGACACATCAAGGAAAGAAAAAATTTCAGACTAATTTCCCTGAACATTGATGCAAAAATTCTCAATAAAATTCTATTTTTATGTTTTTGTCATTTCTCTTTTTCTAATATATTTAATTTATTAATTTTTATGTGGTGCTGAGGATCGAACCCAGTGCCTCACATGTGTGAGGGATGCACTTTACAGCTGAGCTACAACCCCAGCCCCGTTGTTTTTGTCATTTCTTATGTGCAGTATCTCTCTCCCTCACTCCTCCCTCCTCACCCCCACCCTCTTTCTCAAGCACACCTACAAACTACTTACTTTCAAGTTATATTAGAGAAATGGCATCATACAGAAATTGCTACTTCAGTGTTTTGTTACTGAGAATGAACAAGAAGAAAATATTATTGCCATTCCATACATCCAGTGTCAGCTTAACTGAAGGGACAGAAGATACATGGGTCACCTTTGTTCTAACTATTTCATTTACTAATGAAAAGTGATTCCTTTTTTGCCTTTCATCAGAGTATGGTTTGGTTACAGTAGCTTCCCCTTGAAATCCCTGCAGATCCATTTGCCTTGGGTCCTGCTAGGCCATCTCTGTAGCACTTTCCTGCAGACATGGCTCAAAAGTCACATCTCCTCTTCCCCTCCTGCCTGCAGGGAAGACACAGAAGTTCAGGGAATGTTATGCAAAGGGTTCTGGAAATGCCGTGTATGTTTGCCTTGCCATTACTTCTTATTGAGGTGTGTGTAAGATTTATGGCATTCCATCAGACTAAACCAGTTATCAAAAATAAAACTTAAAGCCATCTGAACAGGGATAGAAAGATTGACTTCTTCTTTTCCTAACAATAAACCAGTTATATATAATTCAAAACCTTTTAAAACCCATGAAACATAAAATCATTTTCATTAACCATTGCCACTCATTCTCTTCTCTTTCTAGACTATTTAAACCATGCAAAGAGAACAATAGGATAGTAACACTGTGAATAAATCTCAATTAAATAAACTTTTATCATTTGATTAGAGAACATGGAATGTATGAAGGAGAAACACTGCCTGCATTTAAAGATATAATCTTTTTTATACTTTACCATTTTATTTTTTTGATTATTTTTTTATTTATATATGACAGTGGAATGCATTACAATTCTTATTACACATATAGAGCACAATTTTTCATATCACTAAAGAGATAATCTTGATTAACCTAATACTTCCTTGAACCTTTAACTGTTCCTGTTTTCCTATTACTTGCAGCCCAGCAAAATAAATACATAGTAAAAGTTAGATCAAAGTTTCTGTGATTGCTTTTTCTTTTCTTTTTTTTTTAACTTTAACTCTCAGTGTACTCATCTATATGATGCAGGTTGTAAAATTCATAGTCCTACCTAAGGTTATCAAAACGATAAATTGAAAGATGAATGAAAATCCTTTCAAAAGCAAAACTACAAACCCAAAGAAACAGAGGAGTTTTTCCACTTCTGCTGGCAGGTGGGATCCGCACAAGCTGTACACCTCTGCAACAAGGACCATGTTGCAACTTTTAATGGCAGGCTGTGCCCTCTAGTGTCACAACAACTCACTGCCATCTTTGTCTTTCTGGATTCTTGTCTTATAAAATCAAAGATGAGGATGAGTGAGTTTAAGAGTAGGATTTATTCAGGGTCAATAGAAACAGAACTTGCCACAGGGCAAGATGGGACCAAGATGGGGTTGCTACTCGAGTGTGCTGTCTAGTGGTTTATATAGCGCTTGGGTCAACCTATGGGTCCAAATTTATGCTAACCAGGGTTTGAAAAAGTACTCACAATATTAGTTAGCTCAGAAATCCCATCTAGGTCTGCTACACTTCCATTTTCCCACTGCTGGTTAAGGTTGTGAGGTCATGGCTGCTGGGGGGGATTTTGAGCTGCAGCATTATATAGAGCAGGCCTCCAGTGAGTGTCCCCAGGCTGGGTAGGGCTCCCACGGGGGCGGGGGGTGGTGAAGGTCAGAGCATCCTGGCTCCCTGCACCTAAGGGTGGTGCATGCATGATGGGCTCTGAGCAGCCCTTGCTGTCAGTGCTGGAGACCCCTGGGGCAGCCTCTCTGCAGCTTCACCTCTGCTTCTCTGCAAGGATTAGTGGGCTGGATACCTGGCTGGGGAACCATGTCACCAACACAAAGTAGATTTGGATTGTTGTGGTGGTTATTTAGTGATAGCTATTTTAAAATAAATCTTTAAGGGCTGGGGATGTGGCTCAAGCAGTAGCGCGCTCCCCTGGCATGCGTGCGGCCTGGGTTCGATCCTCAGCACCACATACCAACAAGGATGTTGTGTCCGCCGAGAACTAAAAAATAAATATTAAAAATTCTCTCCCTCTCTCTCTCTCCTCTCTCACTCTCTCTTTAAAAAAATAAAATAAATCTTTAAGATTCTTAGTAGAATAAGTATTGTCATATAAACTTAAAATTTCTCATTTTCAGAGATGGCTGCTAGGTGTACAATTGTTTCTATTTTTTGAGACTATTTGCTTGTTCTAACACTATCATCTTTTTATCATTTTTGTGTATTAGATCACATTAAGCTTTAATATTAAGATAGCTATGATTTTCATAGGGATACCTTATATCTTGGTGACATATTTTAAATTTAGGGATATTGCTTTTTATTCTCTATATACCTACATTTGTACAACATGATGCTTTGATAAGCATAGTGAACTATTTGCTATAGCCAAGCAAATTAATATACCCATCATTTCTTACTTATTATTTTTTGTTGGTAGTTAAGAGCACCTAAAATATGCTCTCCACAGATTTCCAGTACATGTTACAATATTATAACTATAGTCTTCAAATTTTAAGTTAGACTTGTAAATGTATTCATCTACATATCTGCAATTTTGTGCCCTTGAACTATAACTCCCCATTTCCTCTCCAACCTATGCTATAAATTAACTTAGAAATCGTGTTTTTGTATGCACATGAACACATGAATATAACGAAATATTATTCAGTCTTAAAAAAGGAGATACTATCACTTATGACAACCTGGATGAACCTGTAGGACATTCTAAGAAATAAGTCGGAGAGAGAAAAGTAGATACTGTATGACTTCATTTACATGTACAGTCAAAAGGAAGCAAAAATACTCAAAATTCATATTTTAGTGAACTGAATCTAGTTAACATTATTCATAGGCCTTAAATGTGTGTGTTTTTTTTTTTCTTTTTTAACTCTAGTTAATCCAGGAGAAGCATTACCTCACATATGCAAACCTGGAGAATTTCGCTGCCAAAACAGACACTGTATCCAAGCTCGGTGGAAATGTGATGGTGATGACGACTGTTTAGACGGAAGTGATGAGGACTTGGTCAATTGCTGTATGTTCTCCATCAAATAATCTTAAAGCCATATTAAAACTAAGTCTTACTTGTGTAGATTGTCAAATCAGTTTGTGAAAATCTGAAAACATGTTTGATACAAATTGAACTGGGTTTTATTTCCTAGTCATCCTTTTGCAGAAAGGTTAGACTACAGATTGCCTCTTTTGAATACTTTTAAAAGCACTGTTTCTCTCATTTTTCCCCAGCTTCCATATTATCATTTTATTTGCTCCAAAAATCTTCCCCCATTTTCCCTGGTTTTTGTGTTACCACACTACAATCTAGGGTTGCTATAGAAGACGTCTTTGGATCTTTGACTTTAAATTATGGAAAATCAATTTAAACACCCTTAAGACTGAATAAGTCGTACAGAAGGTCATGATCTACTCCACTGCTCCTTGGCAAAAGAAACTTGAAGAAGATCCAAAGAAAAACACATGAATTTGGAACATGTTATCACCTAGCTTCACTGGTTTAGGACATGGTAGAAAACACATATGGGGCACTCAAATATAAATGAAAGATCTTATTCTATTTAACTATTCACCATTTACTAGAAAGAGTTTCATGTTTCCGGTACAGATTAGTAAATTTCTCATAGATGTGGAAAGAAAACACTTTTGAAAGTAAATGAAATAACATTTTGAAAATACATTTGATGAGTTTGAATGGTTTTTGAGATAAATAAAATATTTTACACACAGAGAGAGATATGCTGGACAAAATTATGTATTTGATCTTTTGATTTAAACCTAGTACATTGGTTTAAAAATATTTTTCTTTCAATTGCAGACATTTTTTTCAGGTTAAAATGACTGAACTAAGAGCTAATTTACAGTATCCATTGTCTTGTTTTTAAACTAAAAATATAAAAATAACATCTTAAACTGAATGCAATGGTGCAACACAGGTTATTACAGCTCCTTGGAAGGTTAATCAAGAGAATTACAAATTGGAGGCCAGACTGGGCAATTTTTGTCTCAAAACAAAAATTTAAAAAGTTCTGGAAATGTAGTTTATTGTGTGAGACCCTGGGGTCAGTATCCAACACTGAAAGAAAAAAAAAGTTTTAAAGATCCTTTATGAGAATGTACAAAATTGTTCTGGCCATCTATGTCATGCAGCCATTTGTGCTTTGGGACACAATCCCAAGAATAAGGATGTCTGAAAATATTTGCCAATTTTGTTATATAAATATGGCCCTAATTTTTCTTGAATTCAAAGCATGGATCATGACTTCAAAGTCTATAATTCTTATTTTCAACTCCACTAATATATGTTTTATAAAGTGGTCGCCTACAAATAAAGTTTTAAATACTAAATTGAAACAGTTGTCAAAAGTTTTGGAGTGAGAAAAGCATTTCATCTGAAAATAAAGACTATTTAGTCCCTAATTCTTTTACACAAATGATGTATGATTAATGACTAACTTAATTGCCTCAATTCTGTCTCACAATGTTTATTCATGGTTTTAATGAATACTTACTAGATATATGCTTCCTCTCTATTCTCACAAATCCAACGCCTGAGAAGAGCACATATATTTCATCATAATGTTCATGTTTTATTTTATAAAGTCCCAGCTTCCATCTATGTTCCATTATTTCTTTTGTATTAGGGAAACTCATCTCTTTTATATGTACAGGGACAATGAGTTGACACTATTTACTAATAGTGTTAAAATTCTTGTTAGTATATATTTTTTGATTATTGCTAACACTTTCTATTTCCATACGAAGCCAAGAGCTTTTCCTGGCATCCTCAGTTTCACTTATAGTTTGTACTCACTTTTATTAATGAATCTTATCCCTTCTATCACCTAAATAATTATTTTTTATCTTTATGTCTTCTCAATTTTCATTGGCTAAATTAGGTTTTCGTTTTAGATTAACACAGCAAGTGTTGTTTTAATCCTACCACTCTTTCTCTCTTAAATAAAACTCACTTTCCACAATGCTTCCAGGATATTATTTATGAAATGAAGTTTATAATTGGTATTTCAACCACTGTCTAACCAAGAGGATAAATTCTGTAATCCACTGACTCCCATATACTTCCTGTTATGTCTTGTATTTATATTTTTATCCTTTAGTCTCATGCTCTGCTTACCCTTTTGATTCTTATCAAATTTAACAATAAGTAGATCTCCAAAAACATCCTTTGTTTTTCTTTCTGACACTGCAATCACTTTTCCATAAAGAAGGAATCCAGCATTGCTCATCATTACCTTCCTAGGGAAATCTTTTCTAACCACCAAAAAAATCCAAGTTGGAGTTCAGCATTCATTTCCTGTACATAGCTTTATTATAGAATTTTTTATAATTTAACTACTTTATTAGAGTAATTAAAAACATATTGTAAGTATATGCTTGCTTACTTGGTGCCTTTAATAATAATTTAATATCTTCCTGAGGAGACATTACATTTTAGCGGAGTAGGATTCGCAACACAGCTCCTGGCACCTGGAAGAATGAATAATTAACTGAATAAGGCAACAAATGGCTAAAGGTCTCTGGATACCACCTTACAGTAGGACATCTTATCTGACCATTACAGTCATGCTGAGCGGTACTCTATTCCTGGAGTTTCATGGATGATATTCCCATACTACATAGGTCATTTCAGAGGATTAGTTTAGATTTTAAATACTCATAATCTCCAGCATTGAATTCTGTTATAAATTCTTCTACTCTCTATCCTTCAATGTGTCAACTACAAACCTATGCTGAAAATTGCACTAAGGCGCAAATGCATAATCTTGAAATTTTAAAATGTAGAGCCTTCGAAATATTGGATGACTTTTATTTTTCATAGGCATCTATTTCCTCTGAAGTCCTTGTAGTGGGAAGAAAAAATTTAATTATATTCAAATGTCAGAGAATTTAAGTATGTTCTACATTTCAATTTATTTATTCTTTTACATTACACAAATAAAAAACTTTCCAAAAGGAGTTGAAATAACTTTATCATGCATACTACTTTAAAGAAAAAGTCTTCTCTATAACTGACTAGAAATGCACATATTTTCTGTGCAACAGCATGAAAAAATGATAATATTTTTGAATTCTAAATGAAACTATTATACAAATTGATTATTATCATACAGAGGTACAACTATTGGGCACAAGGGAAATTACTTCAAAAAGAAAGTTGAAATTGCAAAACAAATATTGAAGAGCATGCCTCTTTAAATCCTGAAAAAAATACTGATAGAAGGTTAACAGTAAGATGGCCCCCTGTTGTGTTTAGATATTGGTGGTTTAATCTTTAGCTGTGTACAGCTTCCCATGTGAGGATTGGTCTCATCCTCAGTATTTTCTGTAGTTACATGTTTATTTGTTTGTACTAGGAGACAAAAATCATGATGATCCATTTTTATTAAAATATTATATAGAATCTCATTTTTAGCATCAAATCTAGGTCACAAGTGATGTATATTTTCATTTGTTTGTGTTCTTTTCAGCCCCAAGAAATATTAGATAAAACAGAATAAAATTGGGTATATTTAATAATCTAAGAAATGTTTGAGTATATGTGTGGATTAAAGAAATAATATTTTAACCATGTATAAGAAAAGTATTTGGAGACATATTTGTTATGTTTAACATTAAAACTTGATGGTTATTTTAAATGTTTTTTGTAAATATTTTGGAATTGATTCATTAGTTCTGATGAAAGATGGGTCCACAGGCTTAATGATATAGTCGGTTGTAGTGGAAACAGGAGAAAGGAATACATTTCCTTTTATTTGTGAATTAGTTACATGATGTCTTTTACAAAAATATTATATTTTAACAATGCATAAAATATTGTTATTTTCTGTATAATTAGAGACAAAGATTGACAGAAGCTATAGCATTTATTGTTTAATAATATTATAATTATTGTAACATTTTATAACTATAATTCCAGATATTTATAACTTTATCCAATTTTAAATAATTAAATTTGCTTTCCCTCTCTCCCAGTCAATCATACCTGTCCTGATGATCAATTTAAATGCCAGAATAATCGATGTATCCCCAAGAGATGGCTTTGTGATGGAGCTAATGATTGTGGGAGCAATGAGGATGAATCCAATCAAACTTGTGCAGGTAAGTGTTTGCTTGAATATGTACATAAATTACTTTCAGAATTGGTCACCATAAAAATTCAGGTCAGAACTCTGAACTAATCTGGACATTCCTAGTGCTGACAATCTGATTATGGCAGTAGTAAGTGAATTCAGAGTTTGATGCCACAAAGGCTCGGATATAAATTATCTTTATTTAATAGTTGGGCATTTCTCTGCTTTCCAAAATAATTTGGCACTTCATCTATCCATATGGGTTGACTGTCAATACACTTCTTCTATGAAACCCGTCCCAACTAAATCTTTCTTGGCAAAAATGGGAAGGTGATGTTTGTCAGCATGCTGTGATACAGGCCATCTCACAGGAAGATTTCTTTTTTTTTTTAGCATTGAAAAAAAACTTATAAATTTTATTGTGTCTACTATGGAATACCTTTGTGAATAACTTTGTGTTGATAGCACATTATTTATATGAGGTAGCATTTTTTTTGTCTTCATGAAGTCCCAAGACCACTAAGCCTATTTATATTTCCATATAATCTATTCCATTGTAATAAATCTTTGAATCCCTAGCTAGATTCTTGTTGAATAGAAATATACAGCTGGTGGTACAGGTTACAACAGTGTGCCAGAAAGGTCATTATTAGTCAGATAAGAGTTGAAAAATGATACTGGCTAGCAGCAGCCTTATGCTGCTATTTAAATGATGAAGTAAAACCAGTGTGTTAGATGACACATACTGATATGATTCGTAAAAAAAAAACTGATTTAAATAAAAAAATTGCACATAGCAACATCAAAACACAGACCACCCCATCAACTCTTTGATTTTTTTGTCAAAACAACTCTCAATAAATAAAAATTATTATAAAATGCTCATAAAAATTAATAGAGCAGCAGAGAAAAGACAGACATCAAGATCAATTCCTGTCTTGTCATTGCCACTTGTTTTCTTTTGGAAAAACTTGTAATTCATTGCACCTCATTTTCCTTGTGCTTTCCTATCTGCTCTGCAAGAGTGTGAATTAACTAGAAATTGTTTCTAAAGAGCTTTTCATCATGTACAAAACAACAAGGGCAAGAGCAAAATAATCACAATTGCATAATTCTAACCTGCATTGTATATTCAGCTTTTTGCATAATGACATATTTACACATGATCTATGGGCCAAGTAGTTTCTTATTCCTTGATGTAAAACTCTATTTGACATTTGGACTAAATGACTTTCTTAATAAAATTTTTCATGTGTGTCCTATAAGATTGCTTTACAAAAAGACTTTCTTAAATTTAAGAAAAGGACCTCTAGGGATCATTAGGTCCTAGGTCCCTACATTCAAGACTATTCATTTTATAGGTCTGTATAGGAGAAAGAGCTTGTCTAAAAACTTATTCTTGGGTAAGAGTTTAGGGGAAATTCAATCTGTGTTCTGTCTGTTAGATCATTGTTATGCATTCCAAACCACATAATCCTGCAGATTAGCTATAATATTAGGTATAGTTAGTTTGACTTTGCTCAGGTTGCTCTTGTAATATGAATATAATATATGATAAAACATCTTTCTAAGCTCTACAATTACTATTCTTTTAAGGTTAGGATTCAATTCAAACATTATGTTTCATTACATCCTAAACAGACAGGTCTGCTTTCATCATAAAATTGAAGACACTTGTGGCTCAATTTACAATATGTGTCTTCTTTATTTGTAATACATTTATAAAGATTTTGCTTTTTTCTACATGATTTTTAAAGGACAATTTGTGTTTTGTTAGCTATTTATAGTGGTAAAAGAGGAAATGCTCATGTACAAGAAAAAATGGAACAATCAGTCCTAATTAGTAAGCTATCTTAGACACTCAAGTCCTGTGGTTCACTAAGAAACAGAACACAACTTGCTTAAGTGCCTCTTCTGAGGATGCCACTGGAAGTCTGCACTCAGTACTAGATCTTCTTTTCAGTATGTTTATGACACCTCTTATGATCACTGGATACCATTGAACTTGAGTAAGAACAGAGAAAAAATAAATATTCCTTTTATCATTGAAAACTACAAAGCGTGTGGTTATGTTTCAAAGTATTTTCCAGTTCATTTTACCAAAATAAATAATTGACAAAACTCACCACACTAGAAAAGGTAGTTAATCCACATGCACATTTTCTATGGATCATCTCTCTTTTCCTAAATCAAAATGCATACATGGACATGTTTCCAATATAGAAAAAAAATTAAAGTAGAGGATCATACTGTATTTGAATTGACTGTTTTATGTTCATTTACATCCCCACCATTTTATATCTAAAAGAAAATCCTTTCCCATGTGATGCTAATTTCCTTTCTCATCATTCTAATAATGCAATAAGTATTTGTCAAGGTACTGGTGATAGAATAAGTAAAAATATATAATGCCATGCATTAAGAGGTTAAGAGTGAAAGACATGTCAATAGGACATTGTAATGCAATAGTCAAGTGCTAAGTGGAACCACATTTCAACACATAGGAAGAATAGAGATGAGTCACTGGCTATCTGCAAAGACTTCCTGAAGGAGGCAGTGTCTGTACTGAACCTTTAAATGTAAGTGGACTGAGGATGTGGCTCAGTAGAAGTGTGTTTACCTATACTGAATCTTTAAATGTAAGTGGACTGAGGTTGTGGCTCAGTAGAAGTGTGTTTACCTAGCGTGAAAAGCCCTTGATTCTGCAAATGAATGAATGAATGAATGAATGAATGAATAAATAAATAAATAGATAAATAAAAACATATAAGATAAATTATTAAGCAATAGTCAAAGCCATTTAATTAGGATAAATAAATAATTTGATAAAACTAATGGTAGTTATGTTAGGAAAATGAACTAACATATCCTCTTGGTGGGTGTATAAATTAACTTTTCACATCAGAATGCAATTTGGCTAAATCCAATACATGTAAAGACTCTTATATCTCCAACTCTAAGTCCATTTCTAGTTAATACCTATTCACAAGGAGACATAGTAAAATATGCATTGTCCTGGTAGTACTACTAATAAAATTCAAATATCTATGAATAGAAGAATGGATAAATATATGTATTATATTTGCATAATATATTGCTAGTGAAATGAATGAGCTAGTATAAAATATCAATAGGAATGAATTTCAAACAGAAAGGTAAGAAAAGAGAGTTGAAGAATATAAACAATAATATTTATATGAAGCATAAAACTGTAGACAATTGTATATAATGGTATAATACATATTTTTCTTAAATAAAACTAGAAAAAAATTCTGTAGCAAACAGAGAAAATATATTGGCAATAGATATATGACTGTAAGTAGTGTTAATGATGTTATTTTCTATAAGTCTCTAGGTGAAAGAATTATTTCACTGGAACAAAAAAAAGACCAATTTAGCAGCATGTATTGCTCTGGGTAGAATGGAATGAATAATGAGAGAGAGAGAGAGAGAGGCTTGGAGAATGTACTCAGAAAAGGAAACAGTGCAAACACAGGGGACCAGAGAGTCAGGATCTGTGTAGCTGTTGTTTCCTACCACAGAGTTCTGATTATACTATATAATATTTATTCTCACATCCTCCCCCCTAATTTGACTAAATTCAAACTAGACCGGTATAATTACATTAGAATAAACTGGTGTGTTAAAAATCAGACTTTTTTTTGCAAGATAAAGTGTAGACTGCATTTTGATATAACTTGATGACTTTTCCTTCAATTGGATGTCTTGATCAAAATGCAACAAAGGTAAAGTTTATAAATCACATGTTTTGCTATGTCCTCCCCTGTATCATTTGTTGTGCACTGTGGGAACTCTCACTACTGTGTGACCACAGGAGAAGCATGGTTATTGATAGTTAGAAATATCCACGTTGTGACAGTGAATCTTTGATTCTAGTGCTGGATAAACAATTCTCTTGTAGGAGGTGTAAATTTTCTTTTCCTCAGAGCAGCACTTGCTATAAAATTAGAGTCCTCCAAGGCTACTCTTTTGATCTAACATCTAAACTAATTAGATCTGATGGAGATAAAAAACTGAATAAGTGGAAGCTGTATATCCTTCCTACAAATCCATTGATTCAAAAGTGGTAATTCAGTCAATCTGGTTATATCATGTAGACAAGTACTTCAAGATTTGTAGAATGAACACTGTTCTCATCTGAAGCCAGTTAAATTTTCCTGATAGACCAAACAAAAACTTTCCTCCAAGATTAGAACAGATAGTGAATTCATATACTCTTTGTGCACAACATTTTTCCATAATAACATAGTGATCTCTCTGGAATTATAGATCATAGCAATTCTTCCAGCATTAGCATTTTAACTCCCACACTATCACAATGACAGTTCATACACTATATGGCATAGGTTCTTGAATTTCTTTGCATTTTTGTCTCTAATTATCATAGCTCTCCAAATAAAAGGAAATAGTAAGAAATTTTTGCTAGGGCCAAACTGGAACTATTGAGAGAGAATACACTGACATAAAAATATCAAGTAAAAGAATATTGCATTAGACAAATTTAATTTTACTTGAAATATCCTCTCATTAAACTTCTCTTAAAACTCAAAACATAAAAAGTATTTACCGTAGTCAAAGAAACAATACATAGGAATGTGAAGAAAAAGGTATCAATTTCTCCCCATTTCTATTTCTACCCCTTCCTAAATTCATGCCAATACCTTGTGTGTATTCCTCTACATCTTTACTAAGTTTGCACAGATGCATAGATTTCCCAAAGTAGACATAATTAAATAGAAATTACCTGAAGATATTATTATTTTATTCCAAATGGGGGTTAATTTAGTAAAAGTTCTGTTAAATTAGCTAAATGATCCAACATAGAAATTTTTACTTCTACATGGAATTTTTATTTTGCAAACTCTGAAGTATACATTTTTTTCCTAGAAAACTTAAAAATTATTGATTTAGAATAAGTAATCAATTTGCAGAAATGGAAAAAAACATCAGACATTGCATAAAATATTTTAGATTCAATGCTCTTATCCATGTAAAGCAAAATATGTGATAATGATCTTAATATTTCTGATTGTGGTCACTATAATTAGAAACAGTATATTCAATCCAATATATCAAATCAACTAACAAAATTTTGAATGGTCTTTAAAATATTCAACAATAATTGATAAACATCTTTATATTGCATGTACACTTTTCTATGTATATGTCTTCTAATATCTTATTTCTACTGACCTCTGTAACTCTGATTTATGGATGCTTGGTTGACTTCTGTTTGAACTACTCCCTTCACCAAGCATCAGTACTCAAGTTCACAAGATGGTTTGATGTAACAGAGACACATCATTATGATTTTGCAAGCCCAGAAACAAGAGGAAGTGTTTACTTTATGCCAGAACCTTCTCTACAATTTCATAAACCCAGAATCCAGTGTTCCTCACCACTCATACTTCACCTAATCAAAATACTCACAGATCTCAGTATCTTCCTCCAAACATATTTCATTTTTTTCCCTAGTCTAATGAAAGGAAAGTGTGGACGGGTTACAGACACTCATGAAGACAGATAAGTGGATCAGAGGATGAAAGGAAAGAAAAAAAGAAAATCAAACATTAAAAAAACGAAGTGTGTAACAACCAAAGGCCTGGGGAAAGAGGCAGAGAAGCTATCTAGGCTTTCATTGCTTTCAAAAGTTGACCTGATTGTAATAGAAAAGGGCAATAAAATTCCCTGTAGAACATAACCCCTTTACTGAATAATTTTAAACCACTGCCTTTGGCTAACATAGAAAGCAAGGTTCCATATTTGTGTTCATTGAAACCCTTAAGGGAGCCCAAAGCAAAGTTCATTAGTATACTTTGATTAAAAGCCATACATTTATTTATACAACTGTGCAAAAAGTGAACTTTAGAAAAATGTCTTAAGGCTAAATGCATGTTTTCGAAATGCTTTCTGTATTCTCACACCACACAGTGGACCATTTTGAGATTAAGAAGTGACTGCATTTAAAATGTTAGAGGAAAAGGAGAATTCTGACTCCTTGATTAGGAACTAGATATCCTGAGAAAGTCTCTCAAGGCTTCCTCTTACCTTACAGCAAAAGTAATCTTGGCTTTTGGAAAATACTATACGAAGTTCTCTTTTAATAATCAAAAACTGGACGAAATTTAATTCGATGATATATTCATAAGCATGTGCCAGGCAAAATTTTAAAAATAATGATTTCGTAGCTTCATTTGTGGAATTGTGTGAGAAATATTGAATATCTTGTTACTTAACAGTCATTTTAATTAAAGACCAAACGTGTGAGCTTTAGAGAAGACAAGCAGGCTGGTATTGTGAAACATTAAATAAAAATTTACATTTTGAATAATTTTATCTTAATAGAGAAACATGTCTTTAGTGTAAAAGAAATGCTGCATACTCTTATTATGTGCTTACTGGTTCAAAATTCCTCTAAATTTAGTCTTTGTGTATTAATTGATCATAACAGCCAGAACATGCCAGGCAGACCAATTTTCTTGTGGAAATGGACGATGTATTCTCAGAGCATGGCTATGTGACAGAGAAGATGACTGTGGTGACCAGACAGATGAAATGGCATCCTGTGGTAAGTTGTGAATGAAATATCCTCTTAGTAGAGATCTTGTCAGATAGAACATTCTATCACTGTAATCCCCTTAAAAGGCTATTTCTTTATAAATACAAGTCAACAAGGCAGAGATATGTTACTTTATTATAGCCCTTCAGATATGAATATGTACTTCAATGACAGCTTTAGGATATAGCCATTCATGAAGCAGTAACAATATCCTCTGCTGAAACAAATGATCCAAACACTACAGCATCTATTCAGAGGTAGTTATATAAGGCTAACAAGATATTCTTAAGTGTTTGCTATTAATCTTATGCCTATAATGATAAAACTTGTCAAAACAATGTAACGGTTAACACTGGAGTAAATGAGGTAAACGTGTTTCTGGTTGGCATGTGTGTATTATATTCTCAGAGCAAAAAACAATCTAGACTGAGATTCCAGAGTTGGTAAATCAATTTTTGCTTTTCCATAGTCATGTGATTCTGACTGACAAAGATCATTATCGGTTTAAGATAACATGTTTGTTGATGGCAAAATTCCCAGTCCCTTCCCACTGATTCTCTGACTCCCAAAAATAGTAAAAATTTATTATTGTATGAAGGTACAAATTTAATTATCCTCCCTTTATACTTAAGTTTCCATATGTGTTATTATCATTTTCTCAATAACATATATTCAAACATAGTATGGAAATTAAACAATATTTGTAAGATGTACTTTATTTTAGTCATGGCAATGGATTTTAAAAATTACTCTTAAAAACTTTATCCATAAATGAGAGGTATAGAGCACACATTAAAATATAATGCAATTAGGGATGTGGTTTAATCGTAGATCAAACCTGGATTTGATCACCAGCAAGGAAAAAAATAAATAATAATAATGGTAACTAAATTGAGTATACATTTTAATAATTAATCCTGTTATAGTACTATTCACAGTAAGAAATAAGATCTTTTAAGCCCCCTTTTTAAATGTTATTATTTAGAAGATGTATTCTCTCTTTACATATTTAAAATTTTTCTTAAACTCAACTACTAAGTCACTGTGAACATTTTTAGCTAATAACCTCTGAAAAATGAATAAAGTATAGGTAAAATAGTGTTAAATGATATGGTAAGGAAAAAAAGTGGTGTAAAGAAAGCAATAGAAAAATCACACAATAAATACTTAAGTGTACATTTGACATGTAAATTATCAAGCCTGGTCAATAAAGAGTTGAGAAGTATAATCTCCTTTCCAATGTCCACATGAATGTTGTGATCCAAAAGTTAGCTGGCTGGATTATGCTGCTGTATTTTTTTTTTTTCAAAAACTTGATTCCCTTCCTATTTTGAACATGTGCATCAAGGGTATACCAGAAAGATAATGAACAACCAACAACCTCTAAACCCTATAAACATTAAATAAATACAGAGAGGTCTTAATCAGAGTCCCAATTCAGATGAGTAATGACATGAAAACAATATAAAGCAGAAAAATAAAGTATGAACTCATTAAGTGCTTCTAATTTGTCTTTGACCCTAATTCATTTAATTTTTTAAATTTCATTGTAGTAAGTCTAGGGAAAGTCATCTTTCTTAGTCTAATGATAATTTATTTGAATCAAAGAAGGGGGAAAATACCTTAAACTTTGAATATTCTAAGAAATTATACTAATGAACATTTACATTTCATGAAACGAGGGGAGGAAATGTTACCAGAGACATATTTTTTTTGTATTGAATCTTACAACAAGTCTAGGAAAAACTTTACTATGTTTTAGAAATAAAATTATTGAAACTTAAGGACTTTTAGAAAACTACTTAAGATCAGACTGATTTTTTTATTGATTTAAAAAAATAAATGAATGCATTACAATTCTTATTACACATATACAGCACAATTTTTCATATATCTGGTTGTATATAAAGTATGTTGATACCAATTTGTGTCTCCATATATGTACTTTGGATAATGATGTCTATCACATTCCATCATCCTTGCTAATCCCCTGTCCCCTTCCTTACCCTCGCACCCGTCTGTCCTATCTAGATTTCTTCTCTTTCTTTCTTTATTCCCCTCTCTACACCACTACTAGTCAGCCTCCTTATATCAGAGAAAACATTTGACATTTGGTTTTTTGGGGATTGGCTAACTTCACTTAGCATTATCTTCTCCAAACACTATCCATTTACCTGCAAATACCATAATTTTGTTCTCTTTTATTGCTGAGTAAAATTCCATTGTGTATAAATGCCACATTTTTTTTTTATCCATCCATGAACTGAAGGGCATCTAGGTTGGCTCCATAGTTTAGCTTTTGTGAATTGTGCTGCTATAAACATTCATGTGGCTGTGTCCCTATAGAAACTATTTTTAACTCTTTTAGGTATAGACCATGGAGTGGGATAGCTGGGTCAAATTGTGGTTCCATTCCCAGATTTCCAAAGAATTTCCATACTGCTTTCCAGGCTAGTCTAGGAATCCAAATATGCTTGAAATTAAAATCCGGTCATTTCATGTTGATTTTGTTTTGACATCCACTGATTGGGTCAATGAGTGGGCATTCAATGCCCATATATCTGCATGAATATCTTATTTAAATGTATATACTCCTATAATGGACCTTATTCATTAATGTGTTGATAAATGTTTTAGTATTTCCTGGTGGGAGGAACTCTGAGAGTGTTTGCATGTTTGGGACCATAAATACACCTATCATGGCCTATATCCAGTTGCGAACAAAACTCTCTAAACTCTAAACGTGAAATTGGGAAAAATATATGAATCTTTACATTATTTACATGGTAAATATGAATGTAATAGACTAAAATTTCTTTACAAGCCATTAGTAAATTTATTCAGATATTATGAATCTTGAGTATTTATTTTTTTTTGTTTTAAACATTATTCCATTTTAAATTTATGAAAATTTTGTTTTGAATAATATTATGTGCTTAAAAACTAACTCATATAATCTCTGAAAATTCACAAATCAGCTCTCACATGCTGGTAGAGATCACCAACACACAATCAAGTATAACACATTGTGACAATTTAGCTGCTAAATATTTTGGTTCTGAATCATTGACACATTTTACAGAGTGTCAGTCAACCACCTGCAGAGGTTAGTCACAGTACCATTCCTCTTTTACAATGCAAGAAATGTCCAAATGTGTTCCCCTCTTTAATAACATACATTCACCTTTCACATTGTCATTTTAAATGAAAATTTACATAGGGACAGAAGCTGACAGAAAAACTCTAGTAGGCATAATGTCACTTTTAATGTTGTAAAAGAGAATAGATTTCTCTAATAGAAATTATCACTGCACTATATACAAAAATGATAAAGACTGCAGGCTTTTTTTAATGTTACCATATCTGATGCTAGTTTATAAATGTATACGGGTTCTACTAGTTCCCCATTATATTAAGCATTATTGTAACATTTGAACTGACATATTTTATTTCGCTATTGAAATAGGCCAGATTCCCTAAGATTTATTTCTACCAGAAGATTCTGTAATCACTTTTTTTCCCACCAGTTCAGCTCTCTGAACAATCTTTGTTAAATTTAATAGGTAGCCATTTACATGGAGAATAATATTAAAATTTAGATTTAAAAACATGCAAAACCTATGATTAGAAATGTTCCTGATAGAAATGAAGATACAATTCAGGGTCAAATTTTCAGTGGAATCCACTAATACCTATTTATAACCCTTTCTCATTTTATTTGCATTTACCTTTATAAGTTAATTGCACATTTTAGACTTACATTATATGTGAGCAAATAGTTACATAATTAGGAAGGCCCTCTGAGGATTCAGCCTTGATCTTTAAGTGATCATTTAACTTTTTCAGTAGTTATTGCATGTGTAAAGGAGACATTATAAGTACAATTGTGAAGCCTATGGTAAAAGATGACCTTGTAACAACTATATGAATAGACAATCTCATTGCAGGAATAAGACTAGTATTGGTTTTCAATTTTAGCTCTCTAAGAAAAGATGATGAGGAGAAATTTAAAATAACCTGCCCATACCTCATTCCAGGCTAATTAAATAAAATTCTCTAGGAGAAAGTCCTCAGAATGATTGTTTTAATGCATTCCAGTGGTATGAATGTGTACTCCAGATCAAGAAACATTAAATAGTCATTCTAAAACTTGAGCATACATTGGAGAGGGCCTCTAGAAGACTTGCTAATAGAACAGATTGTTACACCCCTTCCCAGAGTCCTGATCCAGTGAATCCTCAGGTGGACCCTAAGAATTTACAATTCTAACAGCATCTAGTGGACACTGATGTTTATACTACTAGCCGAAAGATTGTACTTTAAGGACCACTGTTATGCATATTTGATTTTTATCTTACATGTACTTAATGAAAATTATGTTCATATATATAAAAATAATTTAAGATGGAACAAGCAATTATTTACACAAATTATCTTTTCATTTCCAAATTACAAAATTAAATATAAGGTTAATTTATGAGTAAACATAAGAATGTTTCAAAGACTCATTTTGTCCTTTAAAAAATTTATAAGCAAAAACAATATCGTCATTTATTTTAAACTTTTGCATAACAATACATGGCTTGTTCTAGCTTTTAAAAATCTCAATATAGCTTATGTTTATTATATTTTTATAAGTATGCTTTAATATAAATTGGTAATGTTCAATTTGTTCAAAGGTTTAAATGTCAGTAATTACCTAAAGTTTATTAACAGATATGAAGGATGAATCAAGAGAGTAGAAATAAAAATCCACTAGGGTTTTCAAAGTTAACATTACATAGCCCACAATGGATGTTGGGCATTTTAGATCTTGAAAATAGAATTCTGTTTCTTATACATATAATCTTGCTTCTAAGTGTGCTCGTAATCTTAATCCACAAAATCGGGAAGCAAAGAATATAAGAAAGAAAATTTTCAAGTACCAGACATGAAGACAAGAGAGAAGGAAAAGAGAGAAAAGGAGAGGAGATGGATATATACACTAGAAATTGTTATCAGGTTAAATC